TTAAATGACGAAAAATTAGGTGTCTGTTTACTTGTGACCACTCAGTGCATCTTTGATTGTTTCACTCATTCTTTTTATAAAATATTAAAGATGAAACAACCCAAAGATTCATGAATAAATGTTAATACATTAACATTTTAATGCTTTTTATTGGAATTTTAACATGTAATGCACTTTCAAAAAAGATAGTTTGGAAATAGCATGAATGGTTAATGAAAGAAATTTTCTTGTTACTTGTAATATAGTTTCTTTCATCACCAATTCAAGCCATCTTCTCCAAAATTTATTGAACTGTAAGTAGATATCATGCTGCAGTATACGTATATGTGCACTGAAGAGATGCTTTTATATTTTCTACAGACAATTCTGGGTCTGTAAAAAAAGGGCTGATATAGGTCAAAAAATGAAACCTTAAGTACTTTTATCTAAAAAATTTTAAATGTACATAACAACACTGGCTGTGACTAGATGAATTGCCCAAAACCTCTAAGCTTAAATGGTTTGTCAGGGTTGTTTTTGTTTTGTTTTTTGACCAAAGTTGCCAAAAATTTATCACAGATAATTTGCACATTTTAATGGTAAAACCTATTTTCTAAAATAAAATATTTAGTGTACTTTTTATTATAAGATTTAATACTTTGATGTACCTGCTTAATGATAAAGTAAGAAAATTCATTCTATCTTTAAACAAGTTGTAATAATGCTCATACTCTTACTTGAAGAATACAACTATACCTAAAAGTTATTAAGAACATTCAAGAACATAATGACGTATATATTCTACCTTTGATGAAACTTCTGGGAAAAATAATTAGTTTCACTGAAGACATCTTTACTTGCAATTAAAACTTTAAATGTAAAATATAAATTTACAAAATTGAATAGGTAGGCAAGGTAACTTTGATATTTCATTTAACTAATTTTTTCTGAATATTATTCTCTAAATCAAGCTAAGTAAATTTATCAACATGGTTTAAATTTAAGATTTTATAAATATTTGTAGTTTAATGTAATATTTTACTGATGCTGGTTTAGTATATTTCAAACTGTGGTAAACTGAGTTATACTTTTGTAATGACTGTTAGTTTTATTTACAGAATATTTTGCCCAATGAAAATACTTAGCAATCAGCCAAAAGCTTATAAAAATCAGAACCACAGGGCCAACTTTTTCTACCATTATACCGACTTTTACGCACAACGATTTTCTTTATCATTCGTTTTGTATTTTTATTAATATTTTACGGTTGAACATTCTAAATTATTTTGAATGGGCTTATCTGTAGGGTTATATTTGGGCCAGACTTGGTAATGCTAGGGCCTGATGAACAGTTCACCCAACTTAGCTTATCTGGTGGAAAACCTAAACGACCTAATGTTATCTGCTCTCTTTGTCTCTTGCTCGGGCCAGATTTTTGCACCGATATAGTTTTTGTTGAAACAGCCGACCATGCTCGTCTTCAGCTACAGTTGGCATATAATTGGTAAGTTCTTTAAAAACTTATAATTGTAAACATTATATTGTGCTGTATTGGAATTATTTTGCATGGCTACTAGTTGACTTAGTTGAATGTTGGAATAAAACAAAAAGTCTGTTATAAAACTTTTATGATAAATATGAAAATATTACTTTTAACTACATGCAAGTGTATACTGTAAATGTTATTGTGTTGTAAAATGAAGATGACACAGGAATATGCAATGGATGTTGATCATATATAGGGCAGTCCAAAATTGTCCTTCCTATTTTAGAATTAAATAATTAAAGAAATTCAACGAGGAAGTTTTCAATATCTTGTAGCCCATATCAAACAGTTTTTATTGTTGTGTTTTTTCAGACCAGTGAGTAGTGTTACCATGTAAAATTGCAACCGTGCAAGAAAACACTCAATGCATCCTTTGGTTTACAGAGATAAAGTCAGTGACTGTGGTGCATTGTAATTACAGATGCCAGTACGGGAAAGAAGTATGGGGGTATATTAAGGATATCGTGTATCTCACACCTGTAGCAAACATCACGGAGCTAAAGACCAAGATAACAGATGGCATTGCCACTGTAACTGTGAACATGTTGCAATGAACATGGACTGAAATTGAATATTGGTTAAATGTGCTGAGAGCCACTAATTGTGCATATGTAGAAGTCTACTGACATGTCAGTAATAGTAATATACATTTGAGTTTCGCTACAAGATGTTGAAAACTGCATGGATATATTTCTTTAGTTATTTGATTATAATATTTTAATATAGGAAAGATAATTTTGGGCCACCCTGTATTATGCATATAGTTAAAATATATGTGTGAAAGAAATATAATTAGGTTGTTGTAGCAGAAACATCTAAATACTTAACATTCAATGCCACACAGTTCAAGCAAGTGAAAGTATAGGTTGATATAATATAGAATACATAGTTATTCTTCTCATTTTTTCAGGCATTTTGAGACTTTTAATAAAAGCCAAGAAACGGCTGCAAGCCTCTTCAGTGTTCCGGATTTCGTGGGGGACTTGTGTAAGGCTATAGCTTCACGGATCAGGGGTACTGTGGCCAGTGTAACTTTTGATGATTTTCACAAGGTGAACTCTTCTGTATCTCTTATTAAATATCAGTGTTCTGACTGGATCTTTAATGCATCAGTTAATTTAGAAACAAATTTAAAGGTTCAAGTTGAAATGTAAAGCTCATTATATCCATTAACTTCTATCTAATTATTCTGAATATTTTTCCTAATTCTCTTGAAAACACAAGTAGTATGAACAGTTGGAATCAAGTTCATGATTTTAAAACTAAAACTGAGCATGCTGGACAATGTAGCCAATAGAAATCATCTCAGTTGATGTGGCTTTTCAGTGGTTTATGTGGATTTAGACAAATGTTTGAATCAACTGAACGCTGATGAATAAGCCTAAGAAAACAAAAATAAAATGCATTATTTGTGCCATTTTTTAGGTTTTGCTTCCTCTCCAATTTGTTTTTGTCCCCGTTTTTCTTTTCAGTTTTGAAAACTTTCACAAATGTTATTATTGTTATAAAAGTTTTTGCATGTTCTGAATCTCGTTACCTGACAGTTTCCATCCATAATATTGCCCCTCAGTGCCTAAGTGGTCAGCTTAAGAACTTATAATGCTAAGGTATAGGGTATGATTTCTGTGTTGGGCACAGTGCAAATAGCCCATTGTGCAGCTTTTTGTTTGAACAAACCATAAGTTGTTGAGAATAAAGATAAACATTTTAATTTGTTGATATGATTTTTTATTTAAACTTTGCTTGGCTTAATGTGAGCTTTCTTCTTGGGTACTTTCTATTTCTCTTCATTTCTGTTAGTTTTCCATTGAGTCAGTGGTAACTTTACAGACATTAACAGTCGATGTGTTCGAAGTAAATCGACGTTTGATAATAAACAAGATTATGACACTTATGATATACAACATTGTTTATTGACAAAGAGGGGACATAGATAAACGTTTTGGAATTCTATCAGATTCCATCTTCAGTATCTAAAGCAAAATAAAATAAATTTACACAAGTCTTTGGACATTGTCAAAGTACAATTGCTAAATATAATGCTAATTAAACAAGTAAAACACAAAACAGTAATCATGGGGAGAAATTACAGCAAGGAAACAAAACAAAAAAAAAAAAGATAAAATCAGTAATATCAACATATTAAGAAATGTATAATTTAAATGAAGACTGCATGTTGTTCAGTGTTGGAGAGTGCTGTTT